ATGCCTCAATGGATGGTGGAAATCCTCTGATTGTAAAATCATCCTGCCTGAAGCACTGGGAGAACAAGTTCTCTCCAAAATACACCGAGCCACCCACATGGGCACCTGAAAGATGCAGGACCTCCTGAGACATGCAGAGATAAAGATTCAAGATACCAACTCCAAAATTGAACGTATTACCACCTGTAAAGCCTGTCAATTGACAAATGCTACCCACAACAAAGCCAACCCAGGCAATAGGCTGAGGGGAAACCGACCTGGAACATATTGGGAAGTGGACTTTACCGAGGTAAAGCCTGAAAGGTATGGCTATAAATATCTGCTAGTGTTTGTAGATACTTTTTCAGGATGGACAGAGGCCTTCCCCACCAAGCATGAGACGACACAGGTTATGGCCAAAAAGCTACTAGAAGACATCTTGCCAAGGTATGGTTTCCCAGTAATGTTAGGCTCAGACAATGGACCTGCCTTCATTTCCAAGGTGAGTCAAAGTTTAGCACAGATACTGGGGGCAAATTGGAAATTATATTGTGCATACAGACCCCAGAGTTCAGGACAGATAGAAAAAATAAATAGAACCCTAAAAGAGACCTTGACTAACTTAACCTTAGAGACTGGCGGTGGCTGGGTGACTCTCCTACTCTATGCTCTCTATAGGGTACGCAATTCGCCCTATAAAATGGGACTAACCCCTTTTGAGATCATGTTCGGGATACCTCCTCCCATCATTCCTAACCTTCAATCTGCGGTACTTGCTGAATTTAATGATCAAAAACTTATTTTCCTTAAAAAGGCCTAGATTTAATCTTGCTACAACAAGGAGGGGCTCTATGCTGCCTTAGGTAAAAAAAAAAATGCTGCTTTTATGTAGACCACTCAGGAATGATAAAAAAATCTATGGCCAAAGTCAAAAAAGGTCTCGCTAAACAAAAGTGAGAATGAGAGCAAAATCAAGGTTGGTTTAAATCTTGGTTCAATTCCTCCCCATGGTTGACCACTCTGATCTCTACCCTGCTGGGGCCATTACTCATTTTGTTACTCCTGTTAACATTTAGACCTTAACAGGCTGATATCCTTCATCAGAGAACACATTAACACAGTACAGCTGATGGTACTTAGGTCCCGGTACCAACCAGTTTCTGAAGACCTAATAAAATTGGCACCCAGAGGGCCATGATTGGTCCTCTATAGCTTCATGAGAAGGGGGGAATGTGAGGCCTAACTAAAGTTTGACTCCATCTTAAATATAAGACAGTGAAGTGGCCTTAACATAAATTCCACTTCACTGATGTCAACTATTCCCCTAGTCTCCTTTGTGCCCATAAACTAATGATAAAATGTCCTTGCTGTGGGACAACAGATTAAAAAAAAAGAGAGACACAGCTCCTAACTCAATCCTCTGTCTGCCCAGAAAACAGATGCTCCCGGGCCCATTATCTATAGAACATTCTGTCAATGTGCTGATTGTTCCTTTTTTTCCATAAACTCTACATGTAGCCACCCCTCAACCCCCCATGCTCGCTAAATATCAACCAATCATGTAACTGCTGAATGAAACATCCCCAAACCTTGCAGTGGCTATAATAAAAACCCTGTGATTTGGAGTTCGGGGCTCTCAATCCTGATCCGCTGCGTCGGTGATGGTTGAGTGCCCCTGCTCGAGCTTGAATAAACAACTCTCGTGTGTTTACATCAAAATCGGCTCCTTGGTGGTCTTTGGAGACTTCGTGATCTGGGCACAACATTTGGGGGCTCGTCCGGGATCCCCAAGACCCTCAGGATTCCCGTACCAGAGGGTTGACGCCAGCTGGTGAGTGTTTCTGTGTCTGTAAAGTCTGGGGCCCATTTTCTGGGAAGGTCGGCAAACGGTCTAGGCAGACGCGCTTCGAGGGCCGCCGACCCGGGATCCTGGAAGACGTTCCGGGATCCTTCTGGAGGGGATGGAGTGCCCCGTGAGTATGAGTCTGTGGGACTCCTAGGGGGATGGTGCGGGTCGCTCCCGAGCTACGGCGTGAGGCCGCCGTCCCATGCTTTGTTGCTTTTCTGTTGTGTCTGTTTGTTTATTGTGTGACTTGGACTGAGACGACGGGACAGAATGTGACTACCCCCCTTTCCTTGTTAACAGGTCGTTTCGGGGAAGTTAAAAAGCGAGTGCATAATGTGAATTTAAAAATTAAAAAGAGAAAGTTAATCACCCTTTGCAGATCAGAATGGCCAACTTTTAAGGTAAATTGGCCACCAGAGGATACATTTGACCTAGAAACAGTCAAAAGAATTTTAAAAAATTGTTTTTTGTCCCCGAACGGGACACCCTGACCAAGACCTGGTACCGAACCCTCCCTCTTGGATCAAGCCCTTTTTGCCTCCACAGAAGCAGCCGCCTGCAGCAGTCCTAGCGGTGCGCGAAAGAACCACCAGAGGAGACTACCGGAGAGGACAAATCGACACCAAAGCCACGGCGCCGCTATACCCAGTTCTCCAAGGAGGAACTGAGGAAGATCTCCTTTTTCCCCCTCCCTACCGCCCGCACCCCGCTCCTCCACTCCCCCCGCCCCCGTCGGGGGTGGAAGGTAGAGCCCCTGCGGCCGCAGCGGGGGCGAAGGAAATAGCCCCGGAGGTAGCCCCGGCGGTAGCTGGGGAGAAGGTGCCTGCCCGGGCGGGCATTGCTAGAGGGGATGGCCCCGCCCAAAACACCCGCAATTGCCTGCGCAGCCTCCACGGTGGCTGGCGGGGTGGCTGGCGGGGCCGGCGGATTCCACTGTCCTCCCGTTGAGGGCGACGACCCCCCGATGAGCATGGCAATCAGCCTCTCCAGTATTGGCCCTTTGCCACTAGTGACCTTTATAATTGGCTCACACAACACGCCAAGTTTTCCGACAATCCCAGGGATCTAAGCCAACTGTTTTGTTAACCCACCAGCCCACTCGAAATGACTGTCAACAGCTCCTCCAGATCCTGTTCATGACGGAGGGACATAAAAGAATTCAGAACGAGGTCAGAAAATTGGTTCCTGGTGACGATAACCTTTCCTTCCCATTGCCCCGGCCCGACTGGGACTTCAGCACAGCAGAATGTAAGGAAAGACTCTGGGTCTACCGCCAGACTCTGTTGGGAGATCTCAAGGTGGCTACTTGTAAGTGCACCAATTTGGCCAAGGTAGGGGATGTACAACAGGGACCAAACGAAAGCCCTGCAGCCTTCCTAAAAGCAATTCAGGAAGCCTTCCGTAGGTATACTCCTATAGATCCAAAAGCAATTGAGACAAGGGCAGCTGTAGTAATACATTTCGTCAACCAGGCGGCGCCAGATATTAAAAGAAAGTTACAGAAAGTAGACAGACTGGGAGAAAAAAGTATTCAGGACATAGTGACAGAAACAAGAGAGAGACTGCAGAGGAAAGACAGACAAAGGCTGATGATCGACAAACTAGGAACCTAGCTCGGATCCTTCTTGCCACCACTACGGGAGAGCCAAAGGAACGTGAACGTCGACTGAGAAATATTGCAGCAAAAGGACAAGGTAAGGGGAAACGTAGGGATCACCCCCGATTGGGAAAGAACCAGTGTGCTTATTACAAAAAAAAAAGGCTACTGGGCCAGAGAATGCCCTAAGAACCCAAAAAGCCGCCTCCAAAACCCCCAATTGACTCTGTTACAATATGTAGGTGATCTTCTTATAACAGCTGAGACACAGGAGGACTGCCTAGATGGAACCAAGAAACTCTCAACGGTTATAGAGGAACTGGGATACTAGGCGTCTGCCAAAAAGGCCCAAATCTGCAAACCCGAGGTAAGCTACCTGGGGTACATACTTAAAAAGGGACAAAGATGGCTATCCGATGCTAAAAAAGAGACATTTCTTAAGATACCTACACCAGACTCTCCTCAAAAAGTTAGAAAATTCCTAGGATCGGCTGGCTTCTGACGCTTATGGATACCCAGGTTCGCGGAACTTGCAAGGCCCCTTTATGAGATAACTAAAAACAATCAGGCCTTTCGATGGATAGAGAAACTACAAAAGTCCTTTGATCAAGTTAAGGCTGCTTTGTTGTCAGTGCCAGCCTTAGGCTTGCCTGATGTCACTAAGCTCTTCTACCTTTACATTGATGAAGACAAAGGAGTCGCCAAGGGCATCCTGGTCCAGTATCTGGGCCCATGGCACCGACTAGTAGCATACCTGTCCAAGAAACTTGATCCTGTTGCAGCTGGATGGCCCCCATGCTTGAGGATGATCGCTGCCATAGCCTTGATGGTCAAAAACGCTGCTAAGTTGACCTTGGGCCAGGAACTACATGTGACCACCCCCCATGCCATTGAAGGGGTTCTAAAACAGCCTCCAGATAGGTGGCTCAACAATGCCCGCCTAACCCACTATCAGGGCCTGCTCTTAAACCCAACCCGAGTTGTCTTCCAGACCCCGGCCGCCCTAAACCCGGCTACTTTATTGCCTGACCCAGACCTAGAGGCCCCACTACATGACTGTGCTGACATCTTGGCTCAAGTACACGGGACCCGAGAGGATCTGAAAGATCAACCATGGCCAGATGCTGAAGATACCTGGTACACCGATGGGAGCAGTTTTGTTCAAGATGGCCGAAGGTATGCTGGGGCAGCTGTGGTCACGGAGACTGAGGTTGTTTGGGTTGAACCCTTGCCCACTGGAACGTCAGCACAGCGAGCAGAGCTCATAGCATTGACCAAGGCGCTGACTCTGGGAAAGGGCCGAAAGCTAAACATATACACAGA